TGATTAATAAAAGGTGGTGCTGAAGTCTTCTTTCACTTATGATTAATAAGAGGTGGTGTTGAAGTTTGAAGTCTTGTTTCACTTCTGATTAATAAGAGGTGGTGCTGAAGTTTGAAATATAAATTAATAAGATTGTTTGTTTTTATAAACTGACAAACATCTGAAGTCTGAAATCTTAATCAATAGTTCGTTTTTGTAAATCAGGTGCAAATATTTTGCAAAATTCTTTTGATTTTCATAAAATTTTCATTGTTGAAATTCATATCAACAATTGCTCAACAGATGAAACATAGTAAGAACCTTCTGGATACCTTTCAGACTCCCGATGCTATCGAGAATGCCGTCAGAGAGTTTGTTTGTGGAAAGATCGATTATTTTTTTCATAGATGATAGATTGTCGATAAAAATTCTTATTTCACATTAATCTTCTACGTTAATCTTCTATGTTAACGTACAAAGAAAGAGAAGGTGGGGGTGTACATTTCACATGGGTAATGAAAGGACAGTGACGTCCCTGGTGGAGAAAGAAACAGTACCCAAATAAAATCAAAGAAAAAATAAATAAGATGAAATAAGATATTAGTTTACCTTTTATTTATTCAGACCCTATTAAGTAATAAGATACTCTGAAAAAAGAAAAAAAAACAGTCTGAATTACAAACCAGATTATATAAAATGGTTTATAGTTTATGATTGTTGTTTACCAGATTTAAGGAACAGATATTAAATTTTCAGAGAACTTAAATGTTTGTCAAAATATTGTTTTTTTTTTGTTCACTTTATACCTTTTTTCTAAAAATAAGCACGAAAACAAAAAGTTATGAAATAAGATCCAATTCACTTAAAAGCTTTTTCGATTGTTTGGTAATTGTTATGCCTAAAACCACTTAAAAAATAATTAGTAGATACTTATACGTCACATATGAGAATCTTTTTTATTATTAGTGTTTAATAATTATTGCTTAAAGTTAATAACTAATTATTTATATGTATACTGAGAAGAGAACTTAAAAGTTGTAATTACGCAAAATTATTTGTAATCTTGAATTTTAAATAATATACATAAAAAATGATTTTTAAGAGTTTTTTGTCAAATGCTTTATCAATAATCTGTACTATCTTATAAAACATTTGGCTAAAACTCTTAGAAATTCTTAAAACTCTTAAACTCGTTCATCTCTAACCGATTTCATCCCATATCTGAATTCGTGTAACTAACTG